TAAAAAATTCTTTAAATATATATTCTAATTATTAAAAGATTTCTAAATAAATAAATTCAATTTAGAAATAAATGCCGATTCAATTCTTAATTTTTTTTCAAAAAATTAAATCATATAAAATATCTCGATTATATATAAGAGTCCATCCTAAAAGAGATTTAAATTCAGAATTTGGCCTATAATTTAATATATAATTTAGAAACTTTAATTTTTCATTTTTAATATATTCAATAACTTATAATCAAAATTTAGTAATTTATTTCGGCGGCGAAATAATACGAATCATTAAATAATTCGAAAAGTCAATTCCATATATTATCATATCTTTTCTAGCAAAAATACCTAGATTTTACAATACGATATACAGAATTTTCTAATATTTAATTTTATATAAATTATGTGTTTCAATATCCTAAATCCAAAGAATTTGAAATTTTCGTATTCAAAATTTATCTCTAAGAAAAAAATAAAGAAATAAATTTCCCAATTTTCGAAATATTCGTTGTTTTATACCGGTAATGGCCCTATATAAATCCGAACCCAGAAGACGCATCCAGCAATTTATAGAATATCAAATCTTCAAAATATATTATCGAAATACTTCACACAGTATACAGTTATTTCGAAATCATCTAAACAAATTCCGAATCCTATATTCTTCAAATATAATTTATCCTTTCATTTCGCCGGAGAGGTAAGTTCTTGTGATTGGGCCTTCAGATTTCCGTGGACCTCATGTTGTTCCGGCAATGCGATTTACAATATGGTAGCGAAGGGCGAGTTTGAGAGGGGAAATTTGTCTTCGTCTCGAGGAGATTATGAGGTCCGGTGCAGAAATTCAGCCCGGTCTGGGTCTAAGCGCTCTTCCTGGACACGAGTGTTCTTGGTGACACTGGTGAGACCGCGCTGCTCCAGGCAGCCGAGCTTTGCAGATTGGCATGCGCACCACGCCTGTTTTTTTGGAGCCTGGTCATGTAGCCTCGTCCTCACTGGACTCAACCTCATCCTCACTGTCGGACCTGATCACAACTTTGGACAGAACACCCAAGGCCCCGATTTGCCCCCCCCTTCATGAGGCACAGGCGCATAGCTACCGAGGCCCCCAAGACCGGACGGAGCACCGGCAGCTTCAACTGGGGCCTTTCGGGGACGCAGATGGCAAGCATGACTTTGCTGTCACAACCCCACCGGCCTCTATTCTGGCCTGCTTCGCATCCGGTTCTGTAGGATCACGAACATCCTCGCCTGCAGGCACTCAGGTCTTCAGGTGCCCTCGTGACCGAGCAGTGGAAAGCGCTGCGTCTGCAAGGTAGCCTGATTTGTGCCACATGCCACGCAGGCGACGCAGGCCTGCATCTTCAGCTTTCTGGGCATCCTTTGCTTTGGCAGCTTTGACCTTCCTGCCATGATACGCCACGCGTCTCTGTGCTCTGACTTTCATCTTCTGCTGCAGCCACGCCGCAGAAAGCTCGGAATCGCGGGTGCCCCCTTCTCCGGCTTGGCCTTCAATCGAGCCTCGAGACCCTGGCAAGAGCAGGAGGGGCCCAGGCATCTTGAAGAGAAATAAAGCGCTGCAATCATTCTCTCTTGCACTTCGTTTGTCGATTTGAAGTCTGCTCTGAAAACCTCGCGCATGTCTTGGGCCTCCTTCCGCGCATGCTCCTCTTCCTGTCGGGACCGCTTCAGCTCCTGAGCCACGGCCCAGCCAAGGCCACTCGGGCGGCGGGGCAGAACTATGCAGATTGTAGCTTCCAGACAAGCGAGAGACCGTGAAGTGTGGGAGTGTACGGGGATGGGACGAGAGACGAGGAGAAGGGCTGCCGATGTTGTCGCCTGCTCGATGCAGTCACTAAAGACCTGCCTTCCGAGCCGCGCGGAGGTCTGCCAAGTCGGAGGCCTCCAGAAAGGACAGAGTTGGTACATTCGGCCTTTTCTCGCCTTTTGGCGCTGGTTTCATGTCAACCGGTGCAGGCCTTCAGCTGATTCTCTTTTTGCTTGTCCTTGTCTACTTGCGCCTGGGAGGTGTCGGCTTCTGAGCCCTGAAGCTACATCGGATATGGCCTTTTCGGGGTCCCGGGCCAAGCGCTCTTTCTCCTCGTCGACAAGGCCCATGAGTTCGGCATCTTTGTCCTCAGAGGACTGCAGGAGAGAGAACTTGCTGGCAAGCCACAAGCGCTTCAGCATGCCGAGTACTTGTTGTTACTCGAACATCCCGTCCTACTCTGGGGCCTAGGGGGTCCAAGGCATGGACGACCTGGTCTCAGGCTCATCCCGTCCGAAAGCCGAGCCAGCAGCATTTACGAAGGTCATGGCTGACTTTGGCCGAATGGGCACCAGCACCTGCTTTTCGCACTGTTGCCAACAAAAGAGTGGACGGCTCTTTGCTCAACCTCTGAGCAATCGGCCACCATGGCCTGTCCAGCCGCCGTCATAGCTGGCGCTGGCTGGCACTGCCCACGGCTCTAAGCGCTTTCCCCCAAGCAGAGCTCTGCGGCCGGTGCCTTTGATCCTCACAGCTTACGGAGACGCTGCCCTTTTCTTTCAAGTCTGCACATCTACCCTGGATCAGAGGACATTACATCACGCCGCATCTTCACACAATCGTCTGCTCGGCACACTGCGACCGCAAGATCTTCTTGCAGTGCATGTTGCTGCTACTTTCTTTTTATGTACAACTGCAGCAACGGAATGAGCACTGGCTGCTCTCGGCCCCTGGGAAGAACTCGAGTCTTCCCTCAGCGGAGCCATCTCTCCTTCTGCAGCTCACTGCTGCTCGCAGGCACCCTGACATCATGCGACATGCTGGCCGAAGTGTTGCCACCATAGCTTTCAGCCTCAATTGCTGTTGTTTGGCGAAGATCACCTTGGAGGCTTAGCCCTGTGCCTCGTCGTCGCCGTCGCCCAGGTCCATGTCCAACTCTCCTTCCAAGTCGAATAAACCTGCGCGGCTGTGCGGCACAGCCAGCAAGGCAAGAGAGCCCTGCACTGCCGAGCCGAGCCCTGCCGGCGCCTTCTTCCTGACCCTCGGAGACTGCCGTCTCCCCTCCTCCAGCTCCTCCGGCTCCGCCAGCTGAACGACTGCTGCTGGCCTTGCCATAGACCAGCGACAGGACACCAGAGATAGTGCAACGGCATTTTTCGCCGCATCTGATCGCCTCTGGACTACATGTTGCCCTTTAGAGGCGACCACACGATAAATCCCTGCGGACTCTGACTCGATTGGCCACTAGAAGACATGACCTTGGAATGAGGCTGGTCGTCAGTGAACTGCTTTATGCAGCTTCTGACAACAGCAAACAACATTAAGCTCCACAGAAGTTGGCGTCCCATGCAGTATCTTCGCGAGATTAGGTCCATCGGGAGCCCAACCACGTGTGAATGTTGCAGCGCGTTCCGTTTCGTGCATCCACTTCCCTACTAGCAGGCTTGCGGCTTGCGCAGCGAACTTTGCCCGCACGCAAGTCCTTCCAAGCACATCCGAAAATGCACGCCGCTACTACGTGGGCCAAGCTCCACAGCCTCTTGGTGCAACGGCAGCACTGAATTTTACATTACATGCTAGCTGCGAATACGAGCGCACCTGTTTACCTTAGGGGGTGTTGACTCGCAGGTAGCATGAGAAACAGGAAGGCCCAACCGCGTATAGGCCGGCCACAGCGGAAGTGCATGCATTAAGTTTTCAAATCTCTGTACACAATAACTCGAGGACCTGCTCGCAAGCCCACCCTCCTGCTGCATGATTCATGTCTGAAGCCAACGATCCACCAACGCTGAGACAACCACACTACTCACAGCAGCAGAAATCACAGCACTGTCGCACTGCCCAGCAGCATCTCTGACCGTCCGGGAGGCATGGCTGAAAGGATGGCGGTTTCAAATCTTTCCAGGCGCTCAGGTCTCAAATTTCGAACGTTCACAGCTGGGAGCTACAAGAGCAGCAACAAAGCTACCGTCTAACAGATGCGGACGTCTTCACACCGCCAGGAGGTCTTGTACCTTTGCCTGCCAAGTCAAGGTTTGCTGCACGGCTCGGTGCCCATCGGTCTAGGTGAGCCCTAGGTCCCTGGACTGGACTCGAGAAGGAAGAGATGAAGCGGCACTGAAACCTTCGAAGCTACACGGACCGCCACGAAGCCCCGCCGATGCCTGGGATTTTGTCTTGGGGCGCGGAGCCAGAGCAACTGACCGCACCTCGGGCGCAAAGGCAAGGAACAGCTTGATTTGCATCTAAGTCTTCGCTAAGGTGCCGTAGGCATGCACCGCTCATCTGCCACTTCCGACGCTTCCTAGCCGACGAAAGGAGAGCCGGAGAGCCGCGAAACGAATGCGCCACCGTCCTTCGAGAACATCGGCAACACCGAGGCCTCGGTCGAATCCCGGAGAATGGTGTCCTCCAAGGTCCAACAACATCTATGAAAGCACGAAAACCCTAACAATTGCTCTCGTCAGTGTCCTCACGGATAGTTGGCAAACCATCCTGCATGCTGAAGACAAGGCTCTGGCTGGTGAGCGCAGAGCGAGAACCATGGCATTTTGGGAATGTTGTTACTGCACTGAACCCGGGGTTGGAGAAAAACAAGGCAGTGTGACAGCTTTGCCCGTGGATCCAGCTTAGCAGCTGACGCTGCTTCGCTTTCCATTCCATGCAGCTTTCGTGCTCGCAGCTTTTACGTGCCTGTGATCTCGGTACTGCATGTGAACGGTAGCCCACGAAGATGAAGCCTTCAAGCCCTGAAGACCGCAAATGACCTAAGCATCTTGCTGCTATGCGACCTGTGCCGGCCGACATCCGCATTTGGCTTGCACTTTCCATGCTCCAAGCTATCGGGGGCCTACTTGGCCACCGCCAATGTCCACGTTAGGGCGGGGGTCTCGGGAGGAGTTTACACGCTGAGACTCCGAGCTTCCCAGAGAATACAAAACGGGCGTTCCCGAACGGAATGCGCAGTTGTGCAAGCCGCCATTTGCACTCCACGCTCATCCCTCAAGGTCCTCTTTGCCCATGACGCATGTCACCGGGATGCACTCAACATCCACCACCTAGCATCAGAAAAGAATCATCGCCACCCGTTCATTTGCAACAACTGCGCAACTAGTGGCAGCTCTGGTTCAGCGGCTTGCCTGGACTTGTTCTGATGCGTTCTCGAGATCCACTGGGGCCTGCAGGACCAAAGCAACGAACACACCCTTTTTCAGCAGACAACATTGTCTCAAGGCCACATGGCACCGCGTTCAATGCCAGGTGACCATCCGATAGCCAAGTGCAATATCAAAGCTGCCTGCTCGGGCAGGCCAAGCAGCTGGCGTCCCTGCTGTGCCAAAACCAGGAGTTGCTCAACCTCCTTTAGCGTCCAGACCTCGCACTCACGCATATGCTGGGAACTTGTCAAGGATAGCCAACTGCAACAGCCCCTGCAAATTGGTCCAGAAGCCTTTCACGACCCGTCTAAGGCCTGCACGTCTCTTGTCAAGCGCACCACTTTGCTCTCGACTTTTGCACCCAGAAACACTCCGGAAACCAAAAAGCCGCCGGAACCTTACATCTTGCAAAAACACTTTGCAAATTGCATCGCTGGAAGTCTTTAGTCGTGCAAACACCCGACACCAGTGCTGCACGCAGAAACTCGATGTTGTCCACTTGGAGATTTCAGCTGCAAAGTAATGCGTCTGAAGCGCCGCCTGAGCAGCAAGATCTCCAGCACGAGCCAAAGCACGCCTCGCAACTGTCTCGCAACAACATGCTGCATTTCCTGCTAATCCCGGAGAGGGCTCAATCAAGATCGGAGTTGCACAAATAGCACGTTATCCCAAAAGTGTGAGCATTGAAGAAGCCGTCTAGAGTTTAGACTACTCGGTTGCATTCCGATTCTGCTGCGTCTGATGGTGTTTTGCAGCAAAAAGCCTTCGTGGCATCACAGCACTGCGGAAGCTCGGCGGACACCTCACCAGCAAAGCTCATCAGAGGTTACATCCTCTCTCGCAAATTGCCCCGCCGTGCTCAACATCGTCTCAACCAAGTGCGCGTCCGGCCTTTTGGCTGCTGGAGATAGGAACTGGCTCAGAGTCTGCGCTTTCACCCAGCGAGTCTACAGTCTCTTTGTAGACGCGCCTCGGCCGCAGTAGCAGATAGTGGCAGGCTAGTGCGATAGCAGCCTCTTCGCTCACCATGTCAGGCTCCCTGAATTTTTGCCATTTGTTGCCATGCGGCAGGTCCCTGAGCGCTGCTGCCGGCCAGGATTTTCTCCGAAGGAAGCAATGGTCCCAAGTGCCAACCTGGCTCTGCGCATGGAGTTGCTGGCTGAAGCCAGCCACGTGCCGCAAGCTCTGTTCGGCCACAAGCAAGCGACACCTCCAAGCCCGAGGACTGTAGGTCGAAGAGGATCGGCAAGTGAGAATCCACTCCTGTGCGTCAGAGCATTGCATACATCGTCAGCTTCGTGAGCTGCGCCAAGCCTAGCCACGCCCACGGACGAAGGCAAAACTTCCTCAGGCTCTGCTGCTCACAAAGGAATCAACGCCTTCATGAGGAGTCACGTTTCCCCTTTCACAGGCAAGGAGCATGCTTGCGAAAAGGAACCCGGAGACCTCGGCAAGCTGAGACAGCCTGTTGAGAGATCGGCAAGGGCCGGACACGAAGCGCAGCATTTGGCACACGCAGGCACGTTTTGGTGCACGTAACTTAGAAGGGACCAAGCAACTGAAAGTGTGACGATGAAGAGCACCAACGATTCGCTCAGAAGCAGAATGAGGACTGCAACCTGATGCTATGGTTGATCTGCTGATTCCATCTGACTGCCGCCTTCATCCCGTCAAGACTGAGTTCACGACGCAAACGGCGCATGCCTGAAATATGGTCGGTGATTGATGATGTAATGCCATGACGGACCCCGAAGCATCTAGACAAAATCATCCGCGTGCAAGCCTGCAGCTGGACATCATAAACTCATAGACTGAACTGCTAACTACTACCAAGGGCCCTTGATCTTCTCTGCTGCAAGGCAATGAAAAATCCGCCCGTTCCTTCATGCTCTTGGCCATCGGAGTAACAAATTGCGGCTGTGCCACGAGAGCAGCAACGAGGCATGCTTGCAGTAGCCAGCGGCCAACACCCACACCTCTGCCGCAAAGTCGATGCATGTTTATTAGTCCCAAGGTCGATCCCCAGAATCTTAAACACCCGCATTGCTCAAATAGAACGGACTGTTCGGTACAACTCGAACAGCTCGGAACTCACTCGTGCAATTGAGAGGCGACCACGTAGGATCCCGTCTTCAGGCACAGTGCCAATCAGGCCGCACGAAGGCTGCATGCTGCTAAACGTTCTTTTCTGAATCACTCTTGAGGTATCAGATTAGGTCAACTCAGACCAACCTCACGTGCATGCGCTGCTTGCTGTTCCGGCTCCCAATAAGGCTGGCCATTGGCTCCAGGGAATATTCGTAATGTCATGTCAGTCAAGTCGACTCTCTGCTGCAAGAAGTTGCAGATGACGGTGGCAGAAGCGAGCGTTTACAACGCCGTCCCAGCTAAACTCGAGTGTCGCAAAAGCCAGACGAGTAACGCTATTGCCTTAAAACCATCGTTGCCCTGTATCGCGAGGCTGCAAACATCGTATCTGTTTCAGCAGGACATTGAAGAGGCACATACAGGTGTATGTGCAACCACACGTGCACTCACACGGGGAACAAGCTCAGAACACGCAGGACCAGAGCAGACGAAGTACAGGATGCACAAACTACACGGACAGCTCGCACTGATCGGCCTGGCCCTTGTCCTCGCCAGAAGAGCCTGTGACATGCATAAGCATACAGTTCCGTACGCAGCCCGCACGTCAACTTGGCCACCGTCGCGGCATGAGTGCTCGGGCCCACCTCCGAAGAGTCCACCAAACCAGCCGCCAGCAGCAGCCCCGGCTGCCTCACCAGCTCCGGCCGCGGCTGGGGCGGCGCTGCCGAAGCCAAACCAGCCTCCTGACGATGCCTCGGCCCAACAGTAAACCCAGAACCGCAACGATGCGACCGAGACATGCATCTTCCTCATCTTTACATCAGAACCATACACGAAGCCACGCTTGGAGCACACGTTGCCAGCACACCGTCGGGGCTCCCGGCACTTGCATCGCTGCTGGCGGCGGCACTGCCCCCACCGAACCAGCTGCTTGACGAAGGCTGGCTTTGAAAAGGTCAAGACCACTGAGATTTGTGCGACCCGCAGCGATCCTACGACTGCTACAGTAAGTTCCATGCACAGCACGTCACTCCATGGAGATTTCGTGAGCTCGAATCTCACGGGTCAAACTCGCCACGGCGACTGCTGCGCTGGCACTGCTGCCGAAGCAGCCACCAGCCGCCTGGCCCAAGCGACAAGCCGCAAATTGCTATTTTGCTCTGCGAAAGCCTCCAATCATGTTCACATGTCCAAAAGCCGGCCCACCACAGCACCGCCGCTCAGCAGGCCGGCGTCCCAGCCACCAAACCATCCCTCATCCTGAGGCTTGCAGTCTTCTCGAAAAGTCTCAGGGCTCCCAGCAGCTCTTCATTAAAGTGCCGACATCTGTCCTGAGGTGGATAAAAGTAGTCGTAGACCGACCTCGTGAAGCATCTCCCAATCTCCAGACTTGACGAATGGTTGTGCTTGCTCTGATAAAGACCTGAATGCGCTCGCTGCCGCGCTGAAAGCTGCGGTTCCGACCTGATTGAACGGGGCTTTTGCCGTCTATGATACAGCTGGTTATCAGCGAAAGGTGTGGTGGCATGACTTACAAATGGCAAGTCGCTGTCCAGGCTGTCATCATCGGGTTCTCTTTGGCATACCTGCAAAGAACACTAGCCGGAACTGGTGTTTCAAGGGAGTGATCCGACCAGGGCCGCAGCTCGTACGCACTGAGCACGTACGAGCTGCTTGCCACGCTGCTGACACCTGCTCAACATTGTGAAGAGGATAACATGCTCCAGTTGGCCTCTAACTCTGCCGGTGCGCCTGGTACAGCTGTAAGAAACCTCGATAGGAGGGAGTATGGGGGTCGCACACCCAACGGCCACACTCTGCCACATCGAGCCACCCAGGCAACGGAACAACTGCACCGTTGTCGCCGTCTGCTGCCGCACCAGCTTTGTGCTCCCTGCGTCTTTGTTCTCGTGTTCCTGCACACGAGAGAACACTCATCTAAAGCTTCTGCACCGACAGCCCAAGGGTCCCCAGGGGCCTCAGCTTCGCGCTCGAACCTGGAGGTCTTCATCTCCTGGATCAGCCGAGAAGATTTCCGTTTCGATGTGGAGGAATGCGCCAACCCTCAGTTGGCATCATATGGTCATATGAGTCATATGATGTCATATGATATATGAGTCATCCGAGTTAGCAGAACTTCTGCCCGTTTCGGGTGATAATACCACTAACCCACCCATTCAAACAATCATTCCTGTACTCCCCCCGATATCTCACCAACTATATCACTTACTTCCCCATTACCGATACAAGTACAGGAACAACCGATTACCTCATCCATACGAAAGGATTATTCCCATACTCCCCGCTACATCTCACCAGTTATATCACCACCATTTCCCCAAAACAATTACATGTACAGGAATAACCCATTGCCCTATCCAAAGTCCCAAAGGTCGTATTCTCATCCCAAAGTGAGCAAAGGTCCTCTCATAGATTTTATCAGGCTAAGGGTTACCTGATGCATCATGACTAAATGGGCAAACTAAGGTTGCAGGCCCTGTAGCCTTTGGAGCGGGGCACCCAAATTCATGGTTGCAGCATTTGCATGTTGAAGTCCACGCATGCGGTGCAGTCAATTGCAGACTCTTATCTCAGAGGTCAAGTATGTAAGAACCACGTACGAATTTCATAACGTTGACTGAACAATTTCACTCCGGTCCGTGCTTAGGGAATATGGATGGTGTGATTGGTTATTCCTATGCGGGTCTTGGTAATGGGGAAGTAGTGGTGATATAACTGGTGAGATGTACGGGGGGTATAGGAATAATCCTTTCGTATGGATGAGGTAATCGGTTATTCCTATACTTCTATTGGTAATGGGGAATTAGTGGTGATATAGTTGTTCAGACATAGGGGGGAGTATAGGAATGATCTTGTAATGGGTGGGTAAGTGGTACACTGGTGGTAGGTAGTATCACCCAAAACGAGCAAAGGTTCTGCCCACTATAAGGCCGGTCCAATGTGGCTGTGCTTGCTTTGTCTTGTAGTCTTTGCTCCTCCAGGTCCTCCCTCTCTTCTGCGGTCAGTCTTTTGAACCTGATGTCGGGACAAAAAGAAGCACTACGATCCCCAAGATGTGGAAGGGACCCTCGGCCCTCAGCATTCACTGAAGCCAAGGATTGAACGAACTCAGCTTGAGATGCGGAGCCGCCACCTGACAGCTCCCCTATGCACGCCGCGCGTCCGACACTGCCTGGGCCGCGACACCCAGACAGCCACACCTCCAGGAAGGCAGCTCTCGCTCTTGCTCTCGTCGATCCACCTTGCGTTCGAAAAGGTCTTTTGCATGGCAAAAAGCACCTGCGCTGACCTGCGCTGAGCTTCGCACCGAGCGGGTGCAGCTGCGCTGACGCCGCTGACAGCGCGAACCTCAGACCGAGGCTCCCGGCTCGGTCGACGGTGGCTCCGCGGCTCGGGCCGCGGCTGCCCGAGGCGCCGCCTCGGAGGGATCGGATCCTCGTGAAGCGCCTGCCCCCGCGCTGCTCAGACCTTCTCAGACCCTCCGAAAATCCCCGCAGCCTGTCCGGCTTGCTCCCATCTCCGCATGAGACTGCGGAGTGCTTATTGCCAGAGGAATCAGAATGCGCTTCCGCTCAATTGCCTGATGCGGTAGTTGATCGCAGTCCCCTGTCACTTGGGTCACCGGCTGCTGCATGCAACCGAAAGCTGCTTCGGACTTCAAACGGAAGCTTGAGGTAGGAACAGGTCATATGAGATGTCGACTTGCGCCTCTCGTCGAAAGATGCACGCAAAGAACTGGCACGTCTTTTGCTTGCGCCACTCAAGATTCGCCACGGGGACTAACGATTGCCATAATCCGTGATGGAGATTCTGGTGTTCTGCAGGAGGTTATTGACTCGATCGCTTATTATTATCTTGCCTAAGCATCCCATGATATAGGTTGCATCATCCTACTGTTTTGGGGATTTAGTCAGGATGTCTGTGCAACGGCGAAACAATTCCAGCTACCAGCACCTAACCACTGACATTCCACAATAGATCCAGGTCGCCAAGATCTAAACAACCCTTCCGCATGACAGAACCTCCTGCAGCAAATCCCTGAACATCTCCTAAGCCGGAAGCACTACTAGAAAGCGAGCGTGGCCTTGCGCACTCCACCCGATTCGGGTGTATCAGGCGCCAGCAATAAAACTAAAAGAGTGAGGCATCGAAGAACAAGGAGAGCTGAGCTTGGCGATCACAAAAGGCAGGCATGGGAAAACACCTTTGTGACCTCCAGCTTCAAGCCCCATTCGGCACGCGATTGAGCGAATGTGCTTCGCACAGCGCCCCATCCGCAGCGCCTGATCTAAACCCCCACGCTAAGTGTTGCGACAGCAGTGCAGTGCTGCCGAAACAGGGGTTGCACATCGCCTTGGGCGAAAGGGTCTGCCCGACAGAGTCGGCATAACCAGGACAGTAAGCCAGCTTATGCTGAGCGAAGGGTTCTGCGCAAGTGTGCTCCCTAAATCAGAAGCAGCTGCGAGCAAATCAGAGGTGCAGAAACTTCGGTGGGCTGCACCTCGACACACTTAGCATTCAACTCGGTGCTCGGAATGATTGCTTGACGCTGAGCTCCAGGCAGCCCTAGTGCCGGCACCTGGCCAAGTGCTTGTTACTTCTGAAACCTCCCCAACTTTCCGTGGCGAAACCCGCTGCCTTATAGAACTGCCACACGAGTATCCGCGCGGAAGCTGCGCTCCACGGACTGCCAGTGCAGAGAAGCTCATGAACTCTTGACGACTGCCTCTTTTCTACTTCAGCTGTTTCACTGTTGCTGTGACTCTGCCCTCCAACACACCTCTCTCAGCCACGTGTGATCTCCGCAAGCTGACCGGGCAGACAGAGAGCGAGTGAGATAAAGACAGGGAGAGACTGGGAGAGACACACATTTGCACTCTTCACGTTTCATCCCAGGGTCTGCACCCCGATGGGACCTTCGTCTGAAATCCTGAGTAGCCTCTGCATGGACGTCTTACCCCACCTGAATGGCCCACTCCGCAGCCAATCCCGAAGCAACGAAGCTGTAGTTTGCATCCTCCAAGAAACGACCGGCAACTCAAAACTAAACGGGCAGCCGCTTAGCTCATCGTCCTTGAGGCCAGGCTCATAATCGGTCAGGAACGTACACCTCGCCGAAACGGGTCTCTGTGGCGTTGCTCTTGCTGTTCCTCTGCGAACACCCGAACACCCTGCCTTGTAGTGTTGCTGCCAGGGATGCCTGAAGGCTGCGGACGGCTGCAGGCAGTGGCCGGAACTCGCTCCAGCTCTGAGTCCGTCTTGGGCCTTCGAAGCGGAAGGCCTTGCAGCTGCTGCTGCGTTGGCAATATCGGCAACACCAATCCGGCGTGGAGACCTGACCGTCCGGCGTCATGGTGCCACAACATCTCTCCCTCTCTTGCAGTGAAAAGGCTTTCTTGGAGTCGAAGATCCGTCCAGAACCACCTGGAGAGAGCGGTGAAACGCGGGGCGGTGACGGCCCAGCGCGAGTAAGCCCCCTGCCGACAGGATTGTAGCTGACATCAGTGTGCTCTAGCCCGCACCTCACGGCAGTTGGTGCTTACTGCGGACCAGCATATACTGGTACCAACTGCGACCAGCGGCCAGAATTCGCCCCAATCATCCCCAGGAAAACCCTTGCGCAACCTCCGGGGCAGATTGCTGCGTGAACCAGCATCATGCTTCAGGTGACCTCACTGCCTAATGCCGTGACAGATGCTTCAATACTGCACAGGCTGAACTTCGGTAAACCAAGGAAGAAATGCAGCCCGCACACCCTCCAAGTATCTCTTCGCTGTAGCCCGCATCCTCCGCATTGCATGAACTTGAACCCACAATCTAGACAGTCAGAGATCCGTCCCATTTGCAGCACCCCGTCCTGAGAAGGCACAGCGGGATGCTGGTAGCCTGCTGACAGGACAAGCTCTACACCCGAGCTTTGCTTGCTGCAGGCTATGGAGAGCTGCAGTGGAGCAATGCATTGCCAGCAAGGCTGCCTCCGGTATCGACCTCGAAGATGGTGGCCAGCGCATGATGATCGCTGCCCCCGGAGCCCAGATCTTCTCTTCAAACCACAGAGGACCTCATCAGGTCTTTAGCTTGTCACTGCATGTCCCAAGCCGAAAGACATAAGTGCATTCGTGGAACGGCTTCAGGTTGGTGAAGACGTTGTCGATTCCTCCGAGAACGGTGCCTGTGGCACTCACGAGCAAGATTTCTGTGCATCGGCGTTTTCATGGACTGTGGCCCGAAACGTGCTCGCAGAAACATGGACATCTCTAAACTCTTGCAGGCCAGACCAAAATGCCTGCGTGGACATGGATGAGGCTTTTGCGCAACTCCTGTGGCAAGGGCACGGGCAAACGGAGTCAGGCATCCCTACCAGTGTATTCAGCCTTTCTTGCCAGGGGATCTCGCGATAACTCGCGAATCGAAGGCTTTCCCGAAGGTAACGTCTAAATCATGAAAGTCAAGAACCGAATCGTGAGGCCCCTATCGCATACCGACGCGAGAGATATTGCGACACAGATTCTTGCGTTCTGCCGCGCCCCTTTCGCTCGGTATCTTCAGACACCGACACCTTCGTGCGAGCACTTATTTCAGCCCTGCAGTGCCTCAAGCCAAAGCTATCAAGCGTTGACACGCCAAGCCTTCCAAGCATCACGAAACGGACACCCGCGTGCCGAGTATTGACATTCAGGCCTTGGCACTGCTCGTTCTCGTACAAGGACGGGGCCGTGGGTGACAGGCGATCTTTGCTGCTCACCCCACTACGTGCGCGTCGCGCGTCGGAATCGTCAGCTCAGCAACAACACGCAAGTTATTCCAGATTTGCCAGAGCCATTCCAACAAGAGGGGAGAGAGGTAGTCAAGAACTACGCATGTGCAGCTATTAGCAACCCAGGGAGTCAAAATCGAGATTCTGTCGAAAATAACGACGAATTTACTGGTGATTATTGCGGAAGGAACGGGAAGGCCACGAACGTCAAACAGCGGCAGCTTTCATCCACTAGAATCACTAGAAGCTGCAGCAGTCCTGAATTGTGTGTGAAGCAGGATTGGCATTGAAGTCCCCTGCCAAGATAACAATGTCACCTGATGCGAGCTCGAACCGGAATCCCGGAGACCGGATGCAATCCCTTGAGCCTTAGACCTGTGCGCATGAAAACCCGCAGGATGCCGCTGTACACTAAGTCGACCGCCGGATTCGCTTCTCTCGTGGATAACCCTGCAGAGTGCAGAATGCATTGCAACAGAACCGCATCTAGACCGTTGTAAATGCTTCAAGAGTGGCCTCAAGAGGTTTCTGGCCGTCCGAAACCCACCACATTGGCCACCCGAATTGACCGCGAGGGGGCCGTGATGGTTGGCGAAGAATACCTTAGGACTCAGGCCAAGACTTGAGGGATTTCAAGAGCAAAGCCAAATACTAAAACACGAGACGCGCAGGCATGGCAAGTTAAAGTATGGCTGCAAGCAACACCATGTTTGTGAAACAATCAGTTCACCAGCAATACGAAACAGCAGCGAATCCTGAGCTGCTAAGTTGCACGGAGACCACTAGCTCTGTGCATCACCCGAGCCCAAATCACTCCGCGGGGTCCGAAATTGTTCCTTGGCAGAGTTTGCCAGGGCTCCTATATTGCTTCATTCACGACAATGCTGCTTCAGAACGCGGTCGAACGCTGGCCGCGAAGACGCGGCTTAAGAGCAATCAACTACGGATGAGACACAACCAAGTCAACCGAGGCACCAGTAGACATCTGCCGCCTCGAAGGCCAAATGATGACACTCGTTGCATCTGCTGATTTTGGTGCAACCCATCACCGGCACACAGAAACACAAACAAACACTAACAAAATGTGCCTGGACAGGCACATAGAAATCGTTCGTGTGTCTGTGTCCCTCCTAGTGCTCCATGCTAGAACTGCATGTGATGGACAGACAGCCTGATTGAAGTCGACGGATGAGACTTCTGAACTGACCACACGGCTGTCGACCGAACTGGTAATTGATTGCTTCACAAGTGATTCAGGCTTCGTTTATCCTACCCTGTCGTACGTAACCAAGCACCTGCCACAGGGCAGCGACTTCACACAGCATGGTGTTTCATAGAACTGCTCGCACTAGCTCCAGACGGGGTCCCATCTCAAGCAAGCTTGGCTTCGCTGTGCTTGGCTTATTGCTCTCTGCACCGTACGACGGTTCGTCACTCTTGTCCAGCCAATTCCTGTGATCCCCGGACACCGCCGAAGATCTAAGCCAACTCTTCTTGATGCGTCTCTGCGATTGAAGCTCTCTGAGGAAGCCTTTCTCTGTTGGCAATGAGTTGGAAGAAGGCTACTTGAAAGCTTTGCACTCCGGGTCACGACGTCCTCCTCGCCCTCCTCCAGCCAAATCCATGCCTCCTAAGCAAGCGCAGGATGCAGAACACACCATTGCAAGGTGCGAAGCAGAGGCGCACATCAGCACCGGAACGCGGCGGCTGCCGAAACAAGAAGTTATGACGACACATCGGCCTACTCTCAAATTGGCGCCTTGTTGAGAGCAATGCATTTCTCGTACATTCCGGCAAAGGTATGGAAGCCTGCACACCAAGTTAATCTCAGCAGTGTCGTCGACTTGAAGGCTTACTAAGCAGATCCTTGCGGCCCTGCTGGGTGTGCTATCTTCTGCCGATGGACTGTTCAAGAGGCCGGCATCGTCCAGCACACGGTCTTTGTCTCCTTAGGTAAAGCCCCCGGGCTGAAGGCTCCCACTGCCACCTCCACGACCATATCGGCGGCCAAGCCACGGCACTCTTGAAAGGCGATCAAGTCTATAGGCTCCCGCCTCGTCGGCTTGCTCTCGCAAGAGGGCTGCACAGGTTCAGTGACAGACTGTGCCAACCCCAGCTGCACCAGGGCAAGCGAGAGGATTCCGAGATGTTTCGGTGGCTATGAAGCTACTCTATTCTCGCCGCTTCAAGCTGAAACCATGTCAGTCTGTGCTGTACTAGTTACTAGCGGGGAACCACGAGTCCTGCAGCTCAGGCGAAAGCGCCGTCTTCTTGCCAAGACGCACATTTGATGTCGCGACAACACCTCCAGCAGTTCCACCGTTGCCCTTATGAATGCCAAAGAGGTTCCACCAAAAGATGTTGTGTCACGACCTCAGGGAGACACGACAGCACTCGCGCAAAGCCAACTATCGCTCTGAAATTTTGCTTGAAAAGCCCCCCCCCGGCCCCCTTAACCCCTCCCAGCCTTTATCCGCACTTTCTGCGGCTCGGGCATCGAGTCTGCATCATCCTTGAAAGGATGTCTTGACCAAGTCACAGACCTGGCGGATGCAGCAAGCAGCTCGCATGATCTATAAAGTTGTGTTGCAATCCGGAGCCCCGTCCTGAGTCGCTCGATCTCACAGCAACAGTGGTAACCAAGAGATCCATCGTTTGCTGCAACGCCGCTTGCATTGGCCTTCAAGGTTGCGGTTCTCCCAACAGCTGGTGTGTGCACAGTAGCGAGAACAGCCAGTCGATGCTGGCACAAACTGGCAAGAGTCATTGCTGGCTGGCCTTCACAGCAGGCGGGAAGGACGGGCAGGACCAATTTCTGGTGAAGCCACAGGGAAAGTCGTTGGACAACAACTTACCTGAGCGACACAGGAGGAACGAGGATTCCAGGATGCACGAGCATTCTCCCAGGTCCAGGGGGCCCAAACGACAACCAGAAGCATTGCAAAAAGAGGCGCGCTTCTCCGATTTCACTGTGCACTTCTTTTTTTGAATTCGCAGGGGCTCTTAGGGCCTCTCTGTCCCGGACCTTGGAGCATGACATGCACTCACGCGGCTAAACACAGACTCTGGCCCCTTGATCTACTAAAATCTGCTACTGACACCTGCTTGCCCTGTTGCTGAAAACAGAGATTTCAGCCGGAGGTGCTGGTGCAGAGGTTTGCACGTGGAAGAACCATCGGTTTCGTGATGGGCACCGCCTGTTGACAAGGCAACAGAGAACGGAAGAACAGAGCTGGAACATGCGTGCAGGTCTTTCCTGTGTGAAATGGAAACACAGCCCCGCCTGGCTATGGTCATGCTGGGCATTCTTTGAGCAAATGCCTTCGATCGCCTTTTCGTAGTGGCTCAGGTCAGCTGCTTGGCCAAACTTGTAGAGGCTCGCCTCAGAACTCCAAGAGGGAGAGGAGAAGCGGGGAGGCATCGCCTCCTTACGGAGTCTTACTGCTGCCAGCTTTCATAAGCAGGCTGTCGAAGGTTGCCATGCTGCCCTCGCAAATGGAACCCAACGCCGATGCCAGTCAAGACTCCAACACCTCAGCGTCCAAGCCTCTCGCTGCATTGCCAACCTTCCTTTTCTAAGCTGGACTCTAGTCTCAGCCCGGGTACTCAGAAGGAGGGATGCCTGGGCCGTCGGTGCGTGTAGCAGGAAGCCCCCGGCACAAGATTCTAAGCTGCCGGCGATTGCTGCAGGCCTTCGTGTCCAGCAGGCCTCCACCTCAACAAAGACCAGTGAAATGCGAGGCTCTTTTTCCTCTGAAACTCAGCTAGCAAGGCCTTTCTGGAAAAATTGTCATCTGCAGAGCATTGCTCTGACGAGGCAAGCAGACCCTCTGCATCTCTCTCCTCGAAGGAAATACTTCAGTGGTCAGTTCGCTCGACAACTGATGCTTTCGCTTCCTCGTCCGCGTGAATCGTAACTCGACGCGAATCCAGAAACATGCCTTGCCGGGACACTTCAGATGCGAGCAACACTACGTACATTGCCGCCACATGCTGCAGTTGGGTCCGCAGAAATGCTGCAATTAATGCTGCTGCAGGCTTCACAGAAGCTCAAAGATCTGACAGAAGATGCTAGGCCTCTCTCTGTTGTCGGAATTTGGAAGATTGGGCATCGCAGGTGCAACCCCTGCTGCAGCCGACAGGGCAGCGACGGTCAAGCTCCCACCTCTGGCCAAGGGCAGCCTACCGCAGCTGAGGCGCGATATGTCCGTTGGCAGGCTCCCATTAGTCAAAGCTTTCAGTATCTCATCCACAAACAACATGCCCAAGCCGTGGCTGCTACAAAATCTTACTAGTACCCTCTGAAGCGTATCCTCTCGGAATTCTAGCCTGGGGTTCGCTCTCCGACTCCGCCGGTTCTCTACCTTTTCTGCATCTCACTTCCGCAGTGCCTTCGGCGCTCTTCACCGAAGGCTGGTCCGCCGAGCAGAGAGCGAGAGCGAGACGAGTGTGAAACGGAAAATGCTTCGGCTTCCTCGCCGGAGCAGGCCAATCTCACCTTAGCACACTGGTGCAATCACTTTCGAAATCCTTTGAATCGGGCGTGTCCGATGCTTTCTTTCTTAATCCGTGCTGCGGCGAAGGCACATTGTCTGATGCTCGGATCCCAAGAACCACAGGAGGCGCTTGAACCTGATCAGTTTCCCGGCAAGAGCGGAACTGACACGAGTGCTCTTTGACGGCGCTAGCACTCTGAGGCTGGAGCTCTGGCATCTTCTCGTACTCAGTAGTTGGCTCTGTCTGTTCCGACCTAGCCGTTCGTGCAACTGACGCAGCCAGCAGCTCTGACTCAAAAGTTGGGACCATGAAACGACGAGATTTGCAGTGCCTGTCTGGAATCTGAGTGTCGGGGCCTTCGCTTGTTCTTGTCAGGCTTGGTCGCACGGCTGGCTTGGACTTCCTCACACGACCCATCTCACAGTCAGCTGGCCCGCTTCCCAGAGGTCACGGTACTTGCCCCTGCCGCGCTCCTCCTTGTCGTACTGCATCCACGTGGGAAACTTCATCAAGCGGCCCGTGAGTCGGATCCTTGGCAGGCCCGTGGTGCAGGGATTGTAGCAGCGGTGAACACGAGGCTTCGGCTGTTTCTCCACCTCGGTGCGCCGCTTGATAGGGTCGTAGGCGGCAGAGTGCTGGACCCTGGCACAATACGATGCTTCGACAATGCAATAATACAACGGAGAAAGGCATGCGGTGAAATCTAAGGCGCACGCCGGCAATCGAACCAGCGCTTCACTTGTTTCAGGAAGTGCAGCTTCTGGCAAGCGCATCAGCGCAACGCTCTTGAATCCATGCTTTGACGCGGTCAGGTCTTCCCTTCTCAATCCAGCCAGCTCGGGCATCCTCTATAGTGGCGTCTAAGGTGTTCTCGATGGACATGCCAATGCGATCTCGTCGAAGATCCTGACAAACAGCGCATATGGGACTCTGAACGCGAGAGCATCTGACAACTTCCAGCAGCTCCTTGACCTTGTCCATGTTGACCTACGGAACACTCAGTCGGGAAAAGGCCATACGCGTTGGTGCGCGAAAGCATGTATGACAAAACTGCAGCAAAGACGTTGCTTGTTGTGCTGCTTCGTGCTTTCGAAGCAGCACACACAAAGATGCACTCTTGCTTTGTCGCTGTACGAACCTCGTTCCAGTGCTTCTCCAGCACCCTGTGGTTGTGTGCCAGAGCCTCAGCGACCAGGGAGGTCTGACTTCACACGGTGCTTGGCCCAACTCTTCAGGATGCCCCGCCCGCATGTACGCCACGTTCCAGTCCACCTCACCGCAAAGCTGCAAAACTGAGCAAGGTTCCGCCGTTCCTGCTTGTGACACCCGCCTGATGCCATCGGACTTTCTTTGGATAGATGACATCCATCATGGTCAGAATGATGATAGAAAAGCTCGCCTTCAAGGCTTCTGCATGAACAGAAGTGAAGTGCTGTCATCGTTGCGTTCAATTCTTTGGCGTGGAGTCTGGCACTTCTCCATTCCGAACAAAGCTCTGAGATCCTTGCTGTAAGGTCACGTGGGGTCACGACATCAAGCTTGAAATACATGTTAATCCAGGTCAGCGTCATGTCCTGCCGACGGAGGGATGCTCGAGGCGGTGCTCGAGCTACGCTGAAAGGTGGGTCCACAGGCCTGGCCTGGATGACCTCCTTGGCATCGATCTTGATCTGCTTCCGTTCCTGAGCCTTCCAGTTAAAGTCCAGTTGTTCGCGCAAGAAAACGACTTGGGGGACCGAAGGGCGGGTGCAAGATATATCCGGCGCATGCCTGCTGGATGGAGCGGCGCCGCTCTTCTTTCACTTCCGCAGGCTGGCACGGGAGAGAAGCAAGGCCGCTCAAACCATCGTCAAGCCTGAAACATGGCCGCTCGCCTTGAACTGAGCGGAGAACCTGCCCAAGGCGGAGAGGCGGAGAGGCTGGAGACTTTCGGAGCTCCAAGGCCCGGGCTCGCACTGCGCCCGGAAACGCACAATGGGAGGTTTCGGCGGCCACCTGCGAAGATGCGAAAACTTGCGAAAACTGGGTCAGATCTCCCGGAGAAACGGGCACTGTTAGCGCCGATCCAGTCGGGCAGTGTTTGGAGCGCAGCCAAAGCGCAGTGGTCGCACCACGAGAAAAAGCTATCCTGAAACTCTCAACTGTGCAAGCCTACTTCACCAAACGGCATGCCTCCGCAGCAAATGCTGGCAAGCACAATTATAAGCCAAAGCTCAGCTAGCTTCTGTGAGTATATGGCCCGTACGGCCGATCAAGCACCACGGTGAGATTCGGGCTCTCGCACACACAGACAGGCGAGGAACACAAGTGCAAGATATTTATCAGTACTCTGCCATGCCACACAGGCAGTTGGCAAAATCATGTCTACATTCGAGGAGCACTGTCATGGTGGCGCTGCGAAGCATGAACCTCGATTACAATGACTCCTGCAACTCCATGCCACTCAGCTTGCGTTCTGCTCGAGGAGTTTCTCTCTCAGAATGGGAGGTGCCCCCTGACAGCGCTCTTCCGCGAGACGGGCTGAAATCCCATCGCTGTCCCCATGCCCCACGGCAGATGTGGCCTTCGGCTTTGGCCTGGCACTTGGCTTCTGGGGTGCTCTCTCGCTCTCCCTCTCTCTCTCAGGGTTCCTGGATAAGGTTGATGCAGGACGCTCTGCACATCTTTGAGCATCAAATCATGCCGAGATTGCTTCGCAGCTGGCAGCGACTTCGTTGCCGGCATGACCTCCGAGTGGTGTTCAAGCACGGCTCTTGGAAGACTGTCGGAAAGAGAGGCCTTGCTTGCAGCCTGGAGGGCCGCAGGTGGGGCCTGAGCATGAGAGCCATCTTGCGCACCTCAAATCACCTCAAGATGTCTCAACCCTGGCGACCGTGCCTTCTTGGGCACGGTGGTCGCACCGTTGCTGCCGTTGCTAGGCTGGGGCGGACCTGACAGAAACTAATTTCCAGGAGATGCAAGGGATCTTCCGAAGCAGCTTGGCTGGTAGCCTTCGACAGGCTCCATCAATTTTTTCGAGTGGACGGCCTGTCAGAACGGATTCCTGGGCTCTATAGAGCTCTGCGGCTCGATGCGGCTCGCCGCATCGGCTCGCCAGGCCTGCATGAGCTTGGCCATGAGCTCTTCGCTGACCTCCGGTTTGGAGCGAGCTTTGGGCCTCAGTAAAGCCGCGCTTCGCGGATCGCCACTCCTACACAGAGCTTGGGCAGCAAAACAGCCGAACTCGCATCGCTGATGTCACAAGTGCCGGACCTCGATGCCGGCCTCTTTGGCAAGGTTTAGACAACGTTCTAAGACTCTGCTCTGAGCAATGGGACCCCGACGCAGGGGCAACCGAGGCAACCGAGGAGTCTGGGCACCTAACGGGCCGGAGGTGAAAGCGAGTCAAACGGAGGGTTGAGCTAAGGTTCCGGCTCCAGCAAGCCAGGTCTCGGGGCCCTCGCGAACTTGGGCCGTTGGATTAGATGCTCTTTCAGCAACCGACAATCAGGGCAGGGCGGCTGTGACGGCTGTGACGGCTTGGGTTGGGGTGCCGCTGCCTCCCGGGGCGGCCCGAAAAAGGCCGCGACATCAGAGCACTGCCCCGCACCCCTCAGAAGCCTTCTTGGCGCCAAGAACTGCTGCAGGCGCCGCGGGCTTCTCAGCGGTCGTTTAAGAGAACACGCCTTTCAGGAGCTGGAAGCCAAGGCGCGATCTGAGATCCGAGCATCCAAAAAGCTCGTGCCGCGCCTGCTTGAATTTGGGACCGGGCCCTGAGCCCCTGCCAGGTGCTGAGGGTCCAACTTTGCCATTGCTGCTGCCTCGAGCCAGGGGTCCTCTTGCCTCGCTTTTGGGCTGCAAACGCGCAGAGCCCAGGCCAGTGATGCAGCGGGCCTTGACCCATCCAGCGGGCCTTCCACAACCTTTGCGGCTCCACTTCGCTCCGCTCAGACTCGCTGCTGCCCAGGCCTTCTCGGCGTCGGCGGGCATGTAAGCCTGGAAGCTGACAGAACCCCCTACGGCCAGACAAGCTTGTGACTTTGCCGCAACTCAACTTTCCTCGTTGTCGTCGTCATCCTCGACATCGGCCCAGTCCTCAAAGGGAGATCGTGCCCACTGTACCACTGTACCACAACTACGAACACATGACTGAAAGGAGGTCCTTGCGAGCAGTGGCTTGCGGCTCGCTTGCACGCTCGAAGGGGTCGAGGCCGAGGAGATCGACTGCCTCCGCGCTTTTGACACTTTTGAGCGACTCTGCGGCCATGTGGCCAGGCCTTGCTTGAGGACACGGCCACTTCAGTCACGGTCTTCTTGGGGGACGCCTGGACCACGCGACTGACACAAAGAGACTTCGCCACTTCGAGGCCCGGACGGCCAAGGGCTCCCGTGCTTCCAGGGTGGCGATGCGGGCAGCCTGCGCGCTCAAAGTTGGAGAAAGCGCAACTCGGCCCACAGGCTTGCAAGCAGCGTCGTCCACTCACCTGCGACCGTCGCACCCCTCCCTGACTTGGTCACGTGATGGTGTTCCGCAAAGCGCCTTACTACAGGTTCCGACTGTCTCTGTGATTGATCAGTAAAGAAATCGATCACCCCCAAATATCGTGGATGAGTATCTCTGCACAACTAATCGTCCTACGCTTTGCCGGTGGCCTGTCTCTCCAAGGTCTCCTGCAACTGACTCAACTCCATATCTCGCATGTCGTACCAACTGCATGCAAGTTTGTTTTAACAGGCACAAGACCATTCGTTGGCAACGCTTGTTCCTGCTGTTCTCCCTGTGGACGAGACAGTCCAACCGTGACTGGCTAAACACCAGCAAAAATCGCTCCTCCATCTGGCTTAGGCGTTGAGCCTGCATTTCAAACTCCACTTTGACCTCGAAGCTGCAATGAAAGTGCTTGCCCGTCGCTCTCCATGGTTTCTCAAGGTTTTCCACGTTGCCTGGTCTAGCAGACAGTGTGCGGCCTTGCTACGTAGATTGTGTCTGTTCAGCAACGACCCTTCCTCTTAAATAAATGTGGGCGGACCTCAGCATAGCACCAAACTTGAGATTGACTGGAGCTGTCTGATTACCAGAGGTTGCCAGAAGCTGGTTGTGGCTGAGGGCTCGAAGTGCAGCACTAGCTCGCCGGACAACGACGACTTGCCCCATGCGTCTTATGAGTCTAATGTCCTTTGCTCCCTTTTTGCTTGCCCAGAGATTGCTGGAGGTCTTGAGGCTTGGGACCTCCAGCCTGCACGGAAGATAAGGGCGGTACCCACCACACCGTCTCCAGCAGTGTGCCCATGACCTCCGCCTGCTCATTGGACGACGAGCGGGTCACGGAGAGAAGCCTCCTGAGTCGATCTCGAACGAAACCGCGCGCCAAGGCAGCTCATTAAGTAAGCACCGAGCTCCAGTGTCTGATCTTTGGCCTTAGATGTGAGGCAATCAGAAACGAGCATGCGAAGAGTTCTCCAAGAGAACGGCCACTGTCGCCATGGAGCAAGAAAGCTGTCTACACCCTACCAGGTTGAGAAATGTACCCTTAACCGTTGAAGACGGGGTCAGTACGGTTTTTGCAAGTCTGCATCTGCCCTGGGCATGACTGTTGTCCGACTAGGCATTGCTTGCAAGTTCCTGCACTTCCGAAAGCTGTGGAGGCAAAATGGCAGCACAGTCCCTGCAAGACCGTCGCTTGGATCATATCGTAGTAGTGACACATGGCTCACGTCTTGCAGGTCCGAGATTGGCACCAAAATCTAGGAGTGGCGGGAAGGGGCGCACTCGTCGTCCGGATTCTCGGATGCATCGGACTCCCCACCGCTGTCGCTCTCCTCGCAGGAAGCGAAGCTCTGCACAGAGCTAGCAAGCTTCAGAACACTGTCAGTGATCGCCTCGGAGGAACGCCTGGAGTTCTTTCGCGAGTTCCTCCAGTGATGCTAGATCAAGATGCCGCGCTCTTGCAAGCTTGCGTTTGGACTGAAGCATCTGAAGATGAAATTCCAGACTACAGACCCTCAAGACTACGACTCAAATGAGGCCAGGCATCGGAGCGCTGGTGTTCGTGGCGGGGGCACCGACTATGCTGATGATAGGGTTCACGATGTCGGTCTTCGGAGAGAATTCCTCCTGTCGAACAACGACTTTCTCTTGAAGCAGAGGCAAGAAAGGCCATCGCACCTCAATCTCTCCGAAGGCGTCATCGTTGTCGTTATCCGACGCAGATCTCCTCTCCTCTTCCTCCGAGCGGAAGCAGACAGACAAAAGGGCGGACCGTGTGAAGCTGCCTCGGCTGGAGGCGGAGGCAGAGGAGGCGCGGGAGGCGGCTCAACCTCTTGCGAGCCCTGCCAGGAGAAAATCAATGTCGAGAACACCAAGTACGCACATTGACATGGGCATGTCTCAGATCAACTGGACCTCGTTCGGAAGAGATGATGAGGAGCCAGGCGCAGGCGCGCTCTCTTCACTCGGCTCCTCCAAAACAGGACTCTCCAGAAGGTGGCTACGAAAACGCAGTGAGCTGAGCTGCATGTGGTTATTTTGATTCAAATGATTCAAAATCACCATACCAGCCGCACCTCCTCGACTGTCTCGCGCACCTCTTTGGCCTTTCACCACTCTGCATGCAGCAACTGATCGGTGTGCACTCGTATGCTCGATCCTGCATTGCAGTCCTCACCGCGTCTTAAAGGAATCTATGCCCTGCGCCCAAAGCTGCCTGCTTCCGTGCTTTGCGACCTCTCTCCATGGCTTGAACCTTCGTGGCGGCCTCCTGGAGCACAGCAAGGACTGTCGCAAAGCTGGGCTGAATAACAGTCCCGTGTGTCACATTCATGCACTGACAAGACCAGATTCGCCACTGGAACAAAAAAACTCGCGCAACGGGGATTTGCGAACCCGGGACTTTTGCTCTGCAGCGGCGGATTTGTGCACGGCGACTGGTTTGGACGGAAATCCCTAAAGACCCAAAACGACACAGAAGCCTGAGGCTGCACGAACTCTTTCAACTGAGTAGCAACATCGTTGTAGACATCAACCACGACCCGAATCCATCCCTATATCCACCCTTCGAGCGGAAGCCAGTTGGCAGCTGTTTTGGGGATCGGTGGGTTGGCCCACCAGACCTGCTGCGTGAGGGTTTGTAATTGATGTTCCCTGGGTCGCTCACCTCACCGAGCTAACAGTTCTTGATGCGGATGCTTAGTAGTCGAGATAGTAGTCGTGGGTTTCACTTTCTCGCTGCATCCCTTGCAAGCACTCGGACAAAGTCTTCCTTTTCCGAGGGGAAGGCGATGCTCAGCCGACGGTCTGTGCAGCGGGAAATGGATCGAACACTTGGATCAGACGCGTACAATTTTCGTCGCAAGCTCTTTGCTAATGGCAGTGTCTTGAGCTACAAAGTTGCGTTTGAGGGGGAGCACTTGATGAAAGGTCTTGTACACTCTGCAAAGCAGGTAGTATCAGCAGTCTGCTAAGCAGTCCTGTGATACTTTGCACATAGCTCTTATCCTAACACCCCGCGAATTGGACGAGGCATCGAGGTCCTCTCGCACCTGCTGTCGGAATACCGACCGAATACCCAAGCAACCGGAAATCCTAAAATCAGAAAGCCCTAAGTCAATCCCTAAAGACTAGACCTTAACATAGGTTCGCTAAAGGTTTCCGGACCCTAAATAACCCCGAAACCTGAAGCCCTTTTTTGAGCAGGGACTGCAATGCACTAAGCCCTCCGACATTCAACGACCCCAACACACCGAGCGCTTGAATCGGCTGGTGCTTCACTCCCGAGTGTTTGAACCGCAGCGCTCGAATCGGGGTTTGCACTCCACAGAAGCTTGCATGCTCGGGACAGGCCGTCTCGGCTTGGCGCCGTTGCTCTTGCGCCACGGGATCCTGATGCACTGTCGCACCGGTTGCAATGCACCATAATCGCCTTCCAGCTCGACAACCACTCTTTCTGCTCAGGCCTTCAGGTGCATCAGTCCTGCAGGCGCATCCACTGTGCCTTGCCACAGAGGAGAAAGATTCGCTCACCCGCCCACCGAGAGAGGAAAGAACATTCGCCTTGAGAAGGAGTTTACGTTTACCACAGAACAATCACAGAATGAATATGGGGTTTTGGTTGGGTGGTTCTTCTGTTGGTCCTTGAATTCGTCCTCACCGGCCACACGAAGATGCAAAAACATGACACGCAATGGAAAAGCCTCGGACTGTCAGTCTGCTCTCCCTCTTCCGCCAAACTGAACGGGTAAGGCAAACCCCTTGTGTCACTCGCCTCAGACTGTCTACGTACCTACATATTTTGAGACACGAACGACACCCACACACGGCCGTGACTGAGTGCCCCAGCCGTCTGCATTGATGGTCTTGAACCCTCTTTCCGTGTCGTCACTGATGCAGGTATTGCTAAAGTCAGCGAGGGCCTGTGGTCAAGCATGTGCGCCGCCAATTTTACCCACACCCTCCCTTTTGTCGCAACTCCTCTCGCATAAATTTCCATTGCAATTTAAATTCCAGCCTTCGCGATGTCGATATACCTCGCCAGATGGTCAGCGATGGAAGGTGTTGAACCGATCGCTTGCGAAGTTTGCGACAGCAGCTTTTTAAGGCTCTCGGAGCTGCAGCAATTCGCGGCTCGCACATCGAGGTTGAAACCGTCGGTGAGTGGCCACTGGCAGCATTGGCCCAGCCTTGTCACCGTCAGGACTCCCATCTGCGCCATTCAAACATTCCTCTGCAAGGCTTCACCCGGACTTCTCTGCAGTTTTGCATCTCCGGTCCCTGGCCCTGCTGGTGGCTCATGGCCTCTCTCTGATCATGGAGCCTCCGCCAACTTCTCGTCTTTCTTGTATTCCTTTTTGATCTCTGAGTTCATCTTGTTGACGATCTTCTCCATGTACTCTTGCACGGCATACAACACAGCGTTGCAGAACTCGCCTTCAGTGATGGCTTCTCCTGCGTCGCTGTCATCCTTCTGCATGGCAATTACCTGGGACTGGAAGGTCTGGATAAACTTTCTCTCGCTCCCCCAACGAGACGTGTCTTTCAAGATGCGGTGCAGGTACATTCTCTCCATCTTGGACAACTGCTTGTACGGACAGTCAGTGCAACAACCATTGTCAACATTCACAGTCTTGAAGAGCTCTCTGGCCTTCTTGAGCACAGCATATTCCTGGCGGGAAAGGAAAAGCCATTTGAAGAAGTTGAGCATCCACTTTATCGGTGGAAACAGCTTCAACCAGAAACAACAAGTTCTGGCCGTGGTCTTCAACGTGCTGGCCACACCACCCTCGTCACTGCTCGAGTCGGAAGTCTTCTCGGGCTTCACCCACGACATGATGGGTCCTGTGAGCTCTCCTCCCCCCTTGGGTTGGTGGACTAGATTGACTAGATGGCTGCGGAATGCAAACAAGCTGTTCACGGCTGCTGGGATACTGAGCCATGTTCAGTAAAAGCAACTTTTTGAGCGACTATCTGCATCTTGTAGGAGCAAGTGAGCGGGCCTGCCCGCGAACTCCAGGCTCACCTTCTCCTCATTTTGTCTCGATGGGGATGCCATGGTGGCGCTGCGACCTTAGAACAACGAAGCCTCTGCATCCGGTCCCGAAGCCATGAAAGGAAGATGCAGGTGGTGCTGGTGGTGCTGGTGCTGGTGATGGTGGTGCTGGTGGTGCTGGTGCTGGTGGTGCTGGTGCTGGTGCTGCTGCTGGTGCTGGTGCTGGTGCTGGTGCTGGTGCTGGTGCTGCTACTGGTGCTGGTGCTGGTGCTGGTGCTGGTGCTGGTGCTGGTGCTGGTGCTGGTGCTGGTGCTGCTGCTGGTGGTGCTGCTGGTGGTGCTGGTGCTGCTGGTGCTGCTGGTGCTGCTGGTGCTGCTGGTGCTGCTGGTGCTGCTGGTGCTGCTGGTGCTGCTGCTAGTGGTGCTAGTGGTGC